CTGCCATGGCATAAGGGAGACCTTCTGCCTCTTTGAGGTAACGGATTTCCGCTCGTTTAAGTAGACTTGACAACGGCGAGAGTACGAAGGGTGAGCCTCATGACAATTAAGGCAAGAGGAGGTCGATTGCAAGACTTATTAGAATGGTCATCGGCACCACAGACTGGGCATTCGGCGATAGATCTGCAATATTTCGCTGGATGGCCAAATCGCCAGCAATTTCTACACTGTTGCGGTGTAGGGATCACCTTTCAAACTTGTAACCGATGTCCTGCTACATAAACTGAGGATGGGAGTTCACGGCTGTCAAAAGTTAAACGAGCCACATTGCTAGGGTATCGTCTCCGCCCGCGGGCAGGAAGAACGTAAGTGTCTACCTTGAGGATTGGGAGATCTTGGAGTTCAGCTGTTCAAGAATGTCAGTGCCACATGTCTGGAAATTTTGTTGAACTATGGTATGGAGCAGAATGACGGTACCACTACAAGAATTGAGAGAATGATGCTTTTCAATAGTTACAGGAACAGTATCGATATGGGAAAGACGAGAAAGCTCATGAGCCTGGGTAGCATTCTGTACGGTGACGATGCGCGTACCGCTCTTAAGAGCATGAAAAGAAATATCTTTACCAACATGGCGTAGGAGTGCCTTGCCAATACTGTGGTCAGAAAGATAGGCAGTAGAGGAAGTCGGTCGTAAAGTGAAGAATTTAGTCCATTGTGCAGTCTGAAACTGAGCGTGGAAAGGTAGTGAAGGACGTGTCGATCTTTTCTGAGAAGAACGAGAAGGTGGAGAAGTATCATCAGCAGGTAATTGTCGTTGTCGTTTAGGCGTGGGACCAGAGTTGGTCCGACGTGGAACGGGCCGGCGATTCGAAAATTGCCACACCATAGAGGGAGAGGCCGGAATCATAGTCAGAGGAGAGAGAAGGTCAGATAAATCGAAGGAGTCAGTCGAGGCCTCAGTACCTGAAGCGGGTGAGGAAACAGCACCGGCAAGAGGTACAGAGGCATGAGGAATGTCCGAAGAGTGGTCCAAAGATGAGGCGGGGTCAGGATGGGGTGCAGTATCAAGAAGGGGCCCGGGGGTAGCAGGTTCATGGACTAGGGCTGCCATGGTTAGGTTACTTCTTTCTTTTTGTTTTTAAGAAAAAAAAGAAAGAAGAAAAGAAAATAAAAATAAAAAAAAGAATAAAAAAAAGGGGGGACCGCGGAGGGATAGTTCCTAGGAGGAATGAAAGGGCCAGAAATCTCCCTCCGCGCCCAAGAGGACCTCAGCACCGCAAGTAGCGCAGATGCAGCATGGAACCCGTGCCATACCCTACCCATCATGCCAGTAAACCGGCAATCCGGGATAGCAACCTCACATCTGCCGAGCTACCTCGGTGGACAAAAGAGAGGGCGGCCGGGAATCCGCCACAAAGCATACCTCCTTCGGCCACCACCCCCAGAATCCGAAAGGTGGCTTCCAGAGTTACACCCGTCGCCCGAGAGACACCCAAAGCCACCCTCCGGGATACCGGAGAGGGATCAGGACATCCCCAGGCAATCCAGATTCCACGGCAAACTACGCCACCGCCAAGAACCTCAACGAAATGGGATGGGCCCCGGTACCCTTTCCCCTACCTAGGAACTAGCGTGCCTGTGGGAAAAAAAAAAAAAAAACAAAGGCCAAAAAGGAAAGGAAAAAGGGGAGGATGGGGAGGAGGAGGAGGAAAGGAAAAAGGGGAGGATGGGGAGGAGGAGGAGGAAAGGAAAAAGGGGAGGATGGGGAGGAGGAGGAGGAAAGGAAAAAGGGGAGGATGGGGAGGATGGGATAGGGAATGGGGGATTGGGGGGTAATTAGATTCGGTCTGAGGAAGTAGACCAACAGGTCTAATTCCTCAGACCAAGAGCCTCTTCACCACGCCAAGGAGCCCCCCTTGAAGAGGCCATGAGCTCAGCTCACTCTGATAAGCTGTGAGTGGTAAATTTGGGCCTAGATATGAGATAATGCATTTATGTGGTATGTGTGTACCACATAAAACATCCTGCAGCACAAAGTGCATAATGAGAGAAAAAAACTGCGACCGTAATTTTCGATTACAACAGCAACGTTTTTTATAGTTGTATTTGCGATTTCTTGGTCTCATTTGATAGAATGGAAGATATTTTACAGAAATAGAGATGATTTTGATTGGTTTTAGTACTGAAAATTGCGTGAAACTGAGCTCAAAGTAGCGGAAATGTTAAATTTTTGCTGGTGTTCAAGAGTAAATAAATGACCTCACACATCTAATGCATGCCAGCTGGTAAGTCTAATATACGTTCACAAATGTGCTGATATTATTTATACAATTATTACAATATTGCATGTCAGTAAATCTTCTATTTTTTGGTTTGAATAAAAATTCATTATGTGAATTAAAAATCAAAATGGAATTCATTTGTAAAGCCTGAAAACATAATTAATGAACAGATGAAGTGTTAGTTTAGTGCCAGGAATGCCTGTATTGTTTATTCTGAACCCTATGTTGAAATTGGAATATTTTGAACTTTGCACTAAATTGGCCAATTTATCAATTTGCAATCACTTTATTTTGTAGTTGAAACAGTCAAGTTGGCGATTTCTTGTGCTCAACCAATAGAATAGAAGAAATACTAGTGAAATAGCTAAGAATTTGGTTGACTGGAATAAGGTAATTGGCCTAAAATAGGAGTCAAAGTTGGCAAAATCGCTGATGTGTAAATATCGCTGACACATCAAAATTCACGAGAGCATAATTTCATCAATTTTCCATCAAATTTCGTACTTTTTGTTTTACTACCTTCAGAAAAAGATTCTCTACTATTTCATAAGAAAAAAAATAACAAAATTATTTTTTGAAAATTCTAGGACACTGGTGCACACTTTGAAAATTGGCCTCTGGACCCTGAAAGGGTTAATGAACTATTTCCATTGCCTCCAAACATCCAGTCACAGATCTTGTCTATTATGTCTGAAATCCTTTAAACTGGAGTCTGTTAAGTTGAAGTTTTATTGTACCTAAATTAAAAAAGTATGGCCTCTCCTCACTTAACGATGAAGTTCCATTCCTAATACTGCATCAGTAAATGAATTCATCACTAAACGCAGAGCATACTATAATGGTAGTGGATTTATGTCAATCATCTTTGATATTGCTTTAATGTCACCCTTGTACCATTTATAACATCTTTAGTATATTCTTAAATCTTTATACAGTAGTGTACTGTACACTGTAATAAACAGAATAGAGGAAATCAGTTCTAATATACATTATTCAGGTATGCATACTGGTCAGAGAGCCTGTCATAAATCCGAGTCATCGGTAAATGAATGTTGCTAAGTGAGGAGAGGCTGTAGTGTATGAATGAAATTACATATGAGCAAATGCAATGAAAGAAAAAGCTGTATCAAATGGATCATATTGTCTAGTGTAAAAAAACAATAACCTAGTAATGTATTAACTAGAAGTGAAGAATGAATCACAATAATGGAAATCTTCAAAACTAGAGATGCCAAGCCCATGATGATTCTCTTCAAATTGCTTGTTCTCTCTAGGCCGAAATACTGCTGTACACTAATGGCCTCTTTTAAGGCAGGTGAAATTGCTGACCTGGAGAACGTACAGAGAATCTTCACGGCACACATAAGTACATTAAAGCACCTAAATTACTGGGAACGGTTGAAGTCCCTTGGAACACAGGCAAGAAAGACACAAGTACATGATAAAACAGCCTCTCCTCACTTAACGATGGAGTTCCGTTCCTAAGACCACATCAGTAAATGAATTCATCGCTAAGTGAGGAGCATACTATAATGGTACATGTAGTGGATTTGTGTCAATCATCTATGATATTGTTTTAATGTCACCTTTGCACTATTTATAACATTTTTAGTACATTTTTTAAATATTTATACAGTAGTGTACTATATAGTGCAATAAACAGAATAGAGGAAATCAGCTCTAATATACATTATTTAGGTATGAATATTGAACAGAGAGCCTGTCATAAGTCCGAGTCATCAGTAAACAAGTACGTCACTAAATGAGGAGAGGCTGTATACACTTGGAAAATCCTAGAGGGATTAGTACCAAATTTGCACATGAAAATCACTCCCTACGAAAGCAAAAGCCTTGGCAGGAGATGCAACATCCCCCCAACAAAAAGTAGGGGTGCCACGAGTACACTAAGAGACAACACAATAAGTGTCAGGGGCCCCAAGACTGTTCAACTGCCTCCCAGCATTCATAAAGGGTATTACCAATAGACCCCTGGCTGTCTTCAAGAAGGCACTATACAGGCACCTAAGGTCAGTACCTGATCAGTCAGGCTGTGGTTCATACATCAGTTTATGCATGGCTAGCAGTAACAGCCTGGTTGATCAGGCCCTGATCCACCACGAGGCCTGGTCACAGGCCAGGCTGCAGGGGCGTTGACCCCCAAAACCCTCTGCAGATATACTCTAGGTATACCATGGTTAGACAACTCACAACTAACCAATAAATAGAAGATGAAACTAAACTGTCTACTGATAATTGTTCAGAATGAACCAAAACTTTATCTAGATTCTTCTCCAGTTCATAGATTAGTTGTGAATTCGAATTAACCATGAATCAACAGAGAACAGGCAGATTATCCAAAAATTCTGTATGATCTAAACACACAATGTTAATACAATATATTCAACTTTACACAAAAAATATTAAATATATAATACTGACACCAATGTACAAAAATAGTAGTGAATAATGAACATTAAATTTTTCCTAGCAATATTCAGAAATTATGAGCACAGTAATGTGAGGCAGTTAATAACAAAAAATAGATTTCAACTCGTGAAATGGTGTACAGTATAAACTACCTTATAATATGGTACTGTATTTAAAACTAATCTGTGAATCAATTTTTTATTTCACTCATCTTATTTTAAGTTATGGTACATTCAGCTAAAATGCAATTTTTTCCATCCCCCCAGTCTTCTTTTATTACTACTTTACCTGGAAGATTATGAAGAGTAGCAAAAGCATGTACAATATTGAGAGACCAAAGACAATGCGCCAAACAGCAGGATGTGGTCGAGTGAAAGGACCATTTGGAAATGCCATGACACTAATGATGAGGAAAAAGAAAACCATGGCTCCCAATCCATACTGTATATTTGACTGAACACTCTCATTTTCATTCCTGGAAGAAAAGACAGACTACTGTAGTAACTTAAGTGTACTGCTATTGTATACTATACAACTCATTTTTTAGGAGACCATTGAATTCTAAAAGAAAATCTATCATGTCATTACACACAAAATTTCTATATTTAAAATGTGTCCTCAATATAAAGTCATTACAAAGGGAGTCAAACATAAATCAAGATGGGAGTAGTGAAATAAAGTGATTGGCATAACACACAAACCCACATGGAAACAATGCAACACAGGATGAAGTGATGAGAGCTCTCCATCTTGGCCTCCAACTGTCTTCATGTGAATCTGTTATATACAAATTACTTCGGCATAAAATATAACAGTACTCAAGGATGATACTAAAATCCTACATTATCTCTTACAACAGCATTTTTGTGTATAAAGTTAAATAGTTTTTAAATAAAAATTATGCAAACTATCATGAATGACATTGAAAATGACAACAAGGCTGATGATGCAGGTAAGGATGAAGTGGTGTGGAGGTTATACATGGCCGATAGAAAAATAAAAATTATGCAAATCCTGCAGCAGCATCTATTAGGACTGAGTATGCGATGTGAAGGAGCAAGCAGTAAGAATAAGAAAATTAAAGAACTGTTTGGTTTAAAAAAACATTTGGACACTGAAAAAAAAATACAGAAATATGTAATAAATATCATTGGATTTATTAAAACAAGCATCTCACATACTGTACAAGGAAGCCTTGTTTAACAGTATGCTATCATATACTGCTCAATGTATTGAGGCAATACATGTGGACAACCTGTCAAAAGCCAACAACCTCACCTCAAAGTTACTCAAGGTGGCTATATGACATGCAGTGCATGTCAACTGGTTGTTAAAGGGGGGAGGGAAGGTGGTATGAAGTGATGTCAATTATTCACTAGTCTCACTAGCCACCAAAAGCTGAAGCAAAATTTACTTGTTGGGGAGAAATCAATTTGTATTATTCATGTGACATGCTTTTCATCATCCATATTTTCTTCCCATACTAAAAGTAGAGCTCTATATGGACACTGAGTGGTCAAAAATATTAAAAACCACCATCTTTGCCTGCAGTGGAACTCATTTCACCTCTTGGTGTAGAGAAATACAGTACAAATACCTAGCTGGATGAATGTTAGTAGACCAGCATGGTACAGTAGTTAGATTACTGGCCTGCTAGTTTTAGGACTGGCTTGCCATGGGCTCAAATCCTGCCCCGTTCCGTGAGGTTTTTTTTTTTTTTAGTTTTAACTGTATAATATCCACATTCATAACATTAAAAGAATCTTCTCATAAGATTTTCATAGAATTTAAAAATGGTAACAGTGCAGCAGGTGTTCATTGATGATGAAATTACATTGTTTGGAAGAGAATATGAGAAAGAACCTTCATATCCACTGAAGAGAAAACTGATCCAGGGTTTAAGGTTGTCAAGGATCGCCTTAGGCTTCTTGTGAGAGGGAATGCTGCTGGAGACTGCAAGCTTAACCCCCATGTTAGTTTACCATTCTGAAAAGGCAAGGACCATGAAGAATACCTCCAAAAGCCTTTTTCCTGCAAGCAATTACAGTGCTCAAACAAAAGGTTCAGATAAGAGTGTTTTTTTTATGTACATTATTTCTGCTTAGCTATTTAAAAAGATAGTATTAATAAAAAAGTCTACAGGAAAAAATCCTGAAATTTATCTCCACTTATAACATTAAGTCTTTGGGAAAAATATGCTTCAGTTTAAGTATATTATGTTTAGTAACACTTTTCTGTAACACATGTCGCTAAACTGCCACTCACTGTGGCTTAGATCAAAATATTATTTAAGTAGGTCATTATCACAGTAACATGCTTAGTTACTACTAGTTCATTATCACAATAACATGCTTAGTTACTACTAGTTCACTATCACAATAACATGCTTAGTTACTGCTAGTTCATTACCAAAGTAACATGCTTAGTTACTACTAGTTCATTATCACAATAACATGCTTAGTTACTACTAGTTCACTATCACAATAACATGCTTAGTTACTGCTAGTTCATTACCAAAGTAACATGCTTAGTTACTACTAGTTCATTATCACAATAACATGCTTAGTTACTACTAGTTCATTATCACAATAACATGCTTAGTTACTACTAGTTCATTATCACAATAACATGCTTAGTTACTGCTAGTTCATTACCAAAGTAACATGCTTAGTTACTACTAGTTCATTATCACAATAACATGCTTAGTTACTACTAGTTCATTATCACAATAACATGCTTAGTTACTGCTAGTTCATTACCAAAGTAACATGCTTAGTTACTACTAGTTCATTAGCACAGTAACATGCTTAGTTACTACTGGTTCATTATCACAATAACTTTCTTAGTTCATTACATACCTTAGCATTACATTAGCACAGTAACATGCTTAGTTACTACTAGTTCATTATTACAATAACATGCTTAGTTACTAGTTCATTATCATAATAACATGCTTAGTTACTAGTTCATTATCACAATAACATGCTTAGTTACTACTAGTTCATTATCACAATAACATGCTTAGTTACTAGTTCATTATCACAATAACATGCTTAGTTACTACTAGTTCATTATCACAATAACATGCTTAGTTACTACTAGTTCATTATCACAATAACATGCTTAGTTCATTACATACTAGTTCATTAGCACGATAACATGCTTAGTTACTACTAGTTCATTATCACAATAACATGCTTAGTTACTACTAGTTCATTATCACAATAACATGCTTAGTTCATTACATACTAGTTCATTAGCACGATAACATGCTTAGTTACTACTAGTTCATTATCACAATAACATGCTTAGTTCATTACATACTAGTTCATTATCACAATAACATGCTTAGTTACTACTAGTTCATTATCACAATAACACGCTTAGTTACTGCTAGTTCATTACCAAAGTAACATGCTTAGTTACTACTAGTTCATTATCACAATAACATGCTTAGTTCATTACATACTAGTTCATTATCACAATAACATGCTTAGTTACTACTAGTTCATTACCACAGTAACATGCTTAGTTACTACTAGTTCATTATCACAATAACACGCTTAGTTACTACTAGTTCATTATCACAATAACATGCTTAGTTACTACTAGTTCATTATCACAATAACACGCTTAGTTACTACTAGTTCATTATCACAATAACACGCTTAGTTACTACTAGTTCATTATCACAATAACATGCTTAGTTACTACTAGTTCATTATCACAATAACATGCTTAGTTCATTACATACTAGTTCATTAGCACGATAACATGCTTAGTTACTACTAGTTCATTACCACAATAACACGCTTAGTTACTACTACTACTACATGGGGTACCTGGTCCCTAGACTCATCATGTGCTTTTGTAATCTTTTGGATAAGTATGAATGCATAATGAGGCCATTAAACTACAGTCACTACCACCTCAGTGTTCACAGCTCTTATTATAAACCCACTTTATTCTTGGCACTGTAGCCTCATCAGAACTCCTCATGTACAATACTAAGAAGTCAGCATTCTTCTCGATATCTATCTTATCCTCCACATGAGTAAGTTGTATAATTAACAACTGAGTGTATGTGTCATTTAGCTTAAGCTAAGCACCGTTGGAAATAGGTAAGTTTTATTGATAAAATCCTAACATATACATGCCAAGATATGAGGTTTACGCCCAATCTTTCCTACAAACTGGTATTATCTCAATAAGTTACAAAAAAAGGTAATGTATATAAATAGGAAAACATGAAGACTCGAAAAACATGTGCTTTAATATATACATAATTTACTACAATTTAATACAAATACATATAATTTACTATTCATGCTTCACGTTACAAAAATTCAACCATTACAGGAACGTGAACATAATAATCATTTTGCTGGACCTCTTATGAAATATTTGAAAATGACGAAACTTACCTAGTAAAAACGAAATAGATCAATCCAGAAATAATAAATATAAGCAACGTAATGCTATGCGGTTTATAGAAGAACTCCACGGATATATCGTCTACAGGTCGCTCATTAATGGATATAAATCGATCTGAAGCATCAGAGCCAGAAGAGTAGGTCCTCCTGCGGGTAGCCATAGCTCTTGTTTACACTGCCAGAGAGAACACCTACCATGGAGAAACAAAAATATAAAAAATACCCTTTACAAATGGCTATTGCTAAATCTTGGACTTTTTACCGACTATTTTTTAAATTATTACTTAAAAGTGTAACCGTGAGTAGCGTTTTATCGTATGAATTTAGAGGTAAGTTTTGATTGTATTCCGTACATGTAACCTCGATGACCTTGAAGCGCTACTGGGCAGCAGACGACCTCCAGCGACACTCTCCCCATGTGTATACACTGAGTACTCACCTAATTGTACTCGCCTAATTGTGGTTGCAGGGGTCGATACTCAGCTCCTGGCCCCGCCTTTTCACTGATCGCTACTAGGTCCTCTCTCTCTCTCTCTCTCTCTCTCTCTCTCTCTCTCTCTCTCTCTCTCTCTCTCTCTCTCTCTCTCTCTCTCTCTCTCTCTCTCTCTCTCTCTCTCTCTCTCTCTCCTCTCTCTCTCTCTCCTCTCTCTCCTCTCTCTCTCTCTCTCTCTCTCTCTCTCTCTCTCTCTCTCTGCTTCCTGAGCTTTGTCATACCTCGTCTTAAAGCTATGTATGGTTCCTGCCTCCACTACATCTCTCGCTAAGCGCTTCCACTTCCTGACGACTCTATGACTGAAGAAATACTTCCTAACATTCCTGACTCGTCTGAGTCTTCAGCTTCCAGTTGTGACCTCTTGTTTCTGTGTCCCCTCTCTGGAACATCCTGTCTCTGTCCACCTCATCTATTCCACGCAGTATTATGTATGTCGTTATCATGTCTCCCCTGACCCTCCTGTCCTCCAGTGTCGTCAGTCTGATTTCCCTAAACTTTTTTTCGTAGGACATTCCCCTGAGCTCCGAAACTGGCCTTGTTGCAAACCTTTGTACTTTCTCTAATTTCTTGACGTGCTTGCCCAGGTGTGAGTGTATGATACACACAGAAAAATACATTGAGAGAGTTTTATACCGTGTGACTGAATAAAGAAAAAAAGAGATGTATATACCTTACGCGTATAATCGCTTATAGATTATTTTAATTTCTGGTTTAGACATTAAAGGATTCTCGATGTTACTGTTACAGGTTGAATTGCAGCTCTAAGCCATGCATAATTAGAGTATCAGTCTTACACCAATGTACCAACCAACCAGGAAACATGACAGCAAACACAGGAGCTATGTTTCGTCCCTAACCCCGGAAAAACAACTCTGTGAACATACACTGGGGTGAATGGCGTCTTCTTGCATCTGAGGGACCTGAGTTCGGTCTCTGCACGAGTGCCTGACCTCTCCGAAGTCAGATTCTGTGTTTTTGTATATTCAATTCAATTCAAAGTTTATTCTCTATAAGGATTACAATGCTGAGTTTACAGAATTTGGTTATTGTGTGGTTTACATGTAGTAAAATAATGATTACAGAGTATACCACTAGAACACCTAGCATGGCTAGGCATTTCGGGCAGACTTAGTTTAATTCTAAATTTTAAAATATTACAAATTATGAGGTAAGTTGGTATTATGGCTAAGTGACTAAATACTAGTTTGTGAGTTTAGCAATGTGAATGTTTTTGTTTTCGCACAGTACATAGTTTCAGTATTGGAGTATCACAGGATTCATTATTTTAAGATTGAGATTAATATTTCTGTTTATGGTCAAATGGGTGAGTGAATAACAAAAAGGCACAATACCGTGACTGGAACGATACACAAATGGTGGGGATGCCCGGGTGTTGTGCATGTGTCATTTCATCCTGTCGGTATTATATACAATTCTTGTACTACTACTACTACTACTACTACCACTACTACTACCTCCACCTCTTCCTGCCTATATATAGCCGTCCTGCTCCTCCTCTGTTAGTGTGACTTTGTCAATGGTCCAAGTCGGACCGAAACGTCGTCGTAAGCTTCTGTCTTTTATGTGCGGGTTATTTGTGTAAATGGGTGAGTGAGTGTAAGTGTGAACCACCAGGTGGTATTCGTGTAGTTAGTCGACGGGGTGTATCAGGGAGATATAGTGAAGAAGACACTTGGGAAATGAAGATAACCAAGTGTTGCAAATGTATGTTATTCACCACGGCATCAACTTGTCGGTACTGTATACCTGGAGTTACCTGGAGAGAGTTCCGGGGGTCAACGCCCCCGCGGCCCGGTCTGTGACCAGGCCTCCTGGTGGATCAGAGCCTGATCAACCAGGCTGTTGCTGCTGGCTGCACACAAACCAACGTACGAGCCACAGCCCGGCTGGTCAGGAACCGATTTTAGGTGCTTGTCCAGTGCCAGCTTGAAGACTGCCAGGGGTCTGTTGGTAATCCCCCTTATGTATGCTGGGAGGCAGTTGAACAGTCTCGGGCCCCTGACACTTATTGTATGGTCTCTTAACGTGCTAGTGACACCCCTGCTTTTCATTGGGGGGATGTTGCATCGTCTGCCAAGTCTTTTGCTTTCGTAGTGATTGATTTTCGTGTGCAAGTTCGGTACTAGTCCCTCTAGGATTTTCCAGGTGTATATAATCATGTATCTCTGCCGCCTGCGTTCCAGGGAATACAGGTTTAGGAACCTCAAGCGCTCCCAGTAATTGAGGTGTTTTATCTCCGTTATGCGCGCCGTGAAGGTTCTCTGTACACTTTCTAGGTCAGCAATTTCACCTGCCTTGAAAGGTGCTGTTAGTGTGCAGCAATATTCCAGCCTAGATAGAACAAGTGACCTGAAGAGTGTCATCATGGGCTTGGCATCCCTCGTTTTGAAGGTTCTCATTATCCATCCTGTCATTTTTCTAGCAGATGCGATTGATACAATGTTATGGTCCTTGAAGGCGAGATCCTCCGACATGATCACTCCCAGGTCTTTGACGTTGGTGTTTCGCTCTATTTTGTGGCCAGAATTTGTTTTGTACTCTGATGAAGATTTAATTTACTCGTGTTTACCATATCTGAGTAATTGAAATTTCTCATCGTTGAACTTCATATTGTTTTCTGCAGCCCACTGAAAGATTTGGTTGATGTCCGCCTGGAGCCTTGCAGTGTCTGCAATGGAAGACACTGTCATGCAGATTCGGGTGTCATCTGCAAAGGAAGACACGGTGCTGTGGCTGACATCCTTGTCTATGTCGGATATGAGGATGAGGAACAAGATGGGAGCGAGTACTGTGCCTTGTGGAACAGAGCTTTTCACCGTAGCTGCCTCGGACTTTACTCTGTTGACGACTACTCTCTGTGTTCTGTTAGTGAGGAAATTATAGATCCATCGACCGACTTTTCCTGTTATTCCTTTAGCACGCATTTTGTGCGCTATTACGCCATGGTCACACTTGTCGAAGGCTTTTGCAAAGTCTGTATATATTACATCTGCATTCTTTTTGTCTTCTAGTGCATTTAGGACTTTGTTGTAGTGATCCAATAGTTGAGACAGACAGGAGCGACCTGTTCTAAACCCATGTTGCCCTGGGTTGTGTAACTGATGGGTTTCTAGATGGGTGGTGATCTTGCTTCTTAGGACCCTTTCAAAGATTTTTATGATATGGGATGTTAGTGCTATTGGTCCGTAGTTCTTTGCTGTTGCTGTACTGCCCCCTTTGTGGAGTGGGGCTATGTCTGTTGTTTTTAGTAACTGTGGGACGACCCACGTGTCCATGCTCCCTCTCCATAGGATGAAAAAGGCTCGTGATAGGGGCTTCTTGCAGTTCTTGATGAACACAGAGTTCCATGAGTCTGGCCCTGGAGCAGAGTGCATGGGCATGTCATTTATCGCCTGTTCGAAGTCATTTGGCGTCAGGATAACATCTGATAGGCTTGCGTTAAACAAATTTTGTGGCTCTCTCATAAAAAATTCATTTTCATCTTCGACTCTCAGTCTGGTTAGCGGCTTGCTAAAAACTGAGTCATATTGGGACTTGAGTAGCTCACTCATTTCCTTGCTGTCATCTGTGTAGGACCCATCTTGTTTAAGTAGGGACCCAATACTGGACGTTGTTCTCGACTCTGATTTGGCATAGGAGAAGAAATACTTTGGGTTTCTTTCGATTTCATTTATGGTTTTTAGTTCTTCCCGCGATTCCTGACTCCTATAAGATTCCTTTAGCTTAAGTTCAATGCTTGCTATTTCTCTGACCAGTATCTCCCTACGCATTTCAGATATATTGACCTCTTTTAGCCGCTCTGTTATTCTTTTCCGTCGCCTGCAAAGGGAGCGCCTGTCTCTTTCTATTTTACATCTTCTCCTTTTTCTTAGAGGAATAAGCCTTGTGCATACATCGAGTGCCACCAAGTTAATCTGTTCTAGGCATAAGTTGGGGTCTGTGTTGCTTAGTATATCTTCCCAGCTTATATCGGTTAAGACTTGGTTTACTTGGTCCCACTTTATGTTTTTGTTATTGAAGTTGAATTTGGTGAATGCTCCCTCGTGACTAGTCTCATTATGTCGGTCTGGGGCTCCACGCATACATGTCTGAACCTCAATTATGTTGTGATCTGAGTATATTGTTTTTTATGTGGTGACATTTCTTATCAGATCATCATTGTTAGTGAAGATGAGGTCTAGTGTATTCTCCAGTCTAGTAGGCTCTATTATTTGCTGGTTTAAATTGAATTTTGTGCAGAGATTTAAAAGCTCGTGTGAGTGTGAGTTTTCATCAGAGCTGCCTCCTGGTGTTATTACTGCAACAATATTATTTGCTATATTCCTCCATTTTAAGTGCCTTAAGTTGAAATCCCCCAGGAGCAAGATGTTGGGTGCAGGAGCTGGAAGATTTTCCAGACAGTGGTCAATTTTTAACAGCTGTTCCTGGAATTGCTGGGATGTTGCATCCGGAGGCTTGTAGACTACCACAATGACTAGGTTTTGGTTCTCGACCTTTACTGCTAAAACTTCCACTACATCATTTGAGGCATTAAGCAGTTCTGTGCAAACAAGTGACTCTGCAATGTACAGGCCAATCCCCCCCCCCCCTTTTTTTTTGCCTGTTCACTCTGTCACATCTGTATAGGTTGTAACCTGGGATCCATATTTCGTTGTCCAAGTGATCCTTTATCTGGGTCTCAGTGAAAGCCGCGAACATTGCCTTTGCCTCTGCAAGCAGTCCACGGATGAAAGGTATTTTGTTGTTTGTTGCTGGCTTTAGACCCTGTATATTTGCAAAGAAGAATGTCATCGGACTGGTGGTATTGTTGGTACTGGGGGGGGGATATTTTTTTTCCGGCATTAGTATCTGTATCTGTATCAATGTTTTTGTATAGTATTTCATAAAGTTCAATCCTGAACGAAATGTCGTAATAATAGTTTTACTACATACATAAGTGTGTTTCTCACTCTCCTGGGTTAC